GATTATAATTAATTGAAGTTGAAGATACTATAAAAAAAATATTTAAAGTATTTTTGTAATTGACCTTTGATATACACTATCTGGAAATTTGATTAGGAATTCCTCCTAATATAGAATTGGATCACCTTTCGTCTCTATAATAACCTAAATTCGAATTGGCACAGACTCCATGAGATGGTAAAAGGTGTATTTTTCCTTGTATCTTATCAACTGAGGAGTACGGTTTATAATTTGTTCGTAATCATGTGCAAAGAATTACAATGATGTTCAATATCATCTTTAAATAAAAACTTACTTGAATTGGAGTCCAGTGATTGCTCTAGCCCAGAAAGATGACTGAAGTCACTTGAACGCCCCTTAAATAAGTTCTGGATAATACCGAAGTAGTAAATTGTTGAATTAATGTCTTGAAAGAGTCTTCGTTCATCAAGGTGGAATTGCAGCATTGCGAGATGGACATAATCAACAAAAGCGTTTAAGTACACTTGAAATGTGGTTAGTCCTTCTAAAGAAATATAAAAAAAACAACCTCCGCTCAAGTGTCCTGTACCATTTTTCCACCTCCATAATCTTGCATTGTTGAATAAAACAAGCACAGTCAAGTGTCTCTTTTTGCCATATTTTTGCCTTATCATAAATACAGAAAAGATCGAGATGAGAGTTTCGAGTTATTTCTTACCCACACTTTTCATTCTAAATACCGTTAAAGCACTACTTTCATATTTGCATTTGAAATCAACGATTTTCGGACTGGTTGTCGGCTGCCATGTTACAATGTTTATGTCCTTCGCTACCTACAACGAAAAGTGAATATAGCTATTTAAATATACCGTTTTTACTTATAAAGATTATAATGTATTGTTTCATAAGTTGGGTACACTCGCTGTTTCTATGATAATTTTGGTTAGAAACAGTTGAATTCTGAGAACTGTTGAAAGAATTTGGCAATTGAAACACAGTTAAATCTGTTGCTGTTTACAAACCTGTCCAATCAACATATCTCATGATCTGTCACCAGTGGTTGATAGTCAAAGTATTTGATTCGTATTGCGACTGCTGATATGATTCGATAAAAGATGTTAGTGACTCTCCTGGTGAGTGAGGGTGTTACTACCATGTCGTCCTTTTTTTAAGGCGGAAGGGTGCTTGTTCTCATCCATTATCTTGCAGATTAACCATGATATTACTACATCTTTGCATTTATAAGGCTCTATACATCTCATGATAGTTTATTTTCCACAGGAAACAAATTAGCGTTTTAGAAATGTTTATGGAAGGTCCAAATAAAGTTTTCAAACATTGTAAGCATTATTTGAACTTTGATAAATACAGATTACATTATCAGTAACTATGCAGCCATTGTCATGGTGAAATAGCTTACACTCTCATCTAACTGTGATTATTAAATAATTTTTATTTCTGCACTAATCATTAATTAGCTTTTAACTTACATTTCGATTAGTAATCTTTTATCTTTTTCAGATGAATTTTGAGGAGGACTATACGTGGTAGTCGAAACTGAGCCTACTTTCTAGAAAGATAGGTGTATTATTCACTGGTGCCCTTCTGCTTATGATGTTGCAATTTCCTGCTATCTCAAACAGTACTTGTCAGGACTGTCTTGAAGATGGCAGTTGGTAAGTAACCAAAATGTAGGCTAAAAACTGATTGATAACTAGTGAAAAATAGTTAATTCGTAATGAAACTCAGTAGATTGTATAGGCTACTCACTATAACAACGAATGATGTCTAAACATCTCAACCTTGACGTAATTACTTTAATAATTACAATCACCAAAAACGAAGTAAGATAAATATTTATTCTCTTTCAATAATCAGTTGTTAAGTCTTAAATTATATACTAGCTACTATCAGCTTAATATTTATCTTTATATCTCATACCTATTTTTTTTACAATAATCGAATTAAATATTATCACAGTTTTAATTATTTATTTTGATGTTGCAATGTCAAAAAAGTTTGTTTGTTTCGGAATTTTGAGTTGATAGATTAGAAAGAAAGCAGTTAGTCAACATCACCCATTAGGAACTTTTCGGCTGCTCTAATCGAATAGTAATTTGAATATTACTCTTATAGTGTACCCATTAAGGGTGTGTATCTCATCATAGTAGTCGATAGAATATGTATCTAAATATTGATGCCGCGATACGATACGTATCTAGATACAGAAGTAAGTTTTACCAGCGGTTTGTTAAAAAGTTTGACATTATTTTCTGAAATTTAACTATATTACTAACATTGCCTTATTTAAATACTTCACACTTTACTTCTTTATGTATTATTATAAAAAGATTAAAATGTAACAATTAGAACCATTTAAGCTAGATACGGTTAAATTAGGTAAAAAATATAAATAATAATAATATAATTTTTACGAGGTACCGCTCGCTAGGACTTGATTGGTATAACATTTGCTTCATGTTACCGTGTACTTTAAACTTTTTATGGCGGAGATACAAAAAAAGGTTCAAAGGGCAATAAAACAATAAAATTTAATTACAAACAGATGTATAATATTAAGAACTTCAAGTTTTTTAGTGTAAGCAAATGTAGTTTCGTACTACAATTTGAATTAATTCTAGAAAAAAAGAGGATAATTTTGATTTATTTTGTATTTTTGATGGTGGTTACGAGGCTGGCCAAACTGACCGACATCACGTCAAATTAGGGTAGTGAATATAGCAGATACAATATGAAGAGTTATCGAAAAAAAAGTTTTAAATTTATTTCGGAGATCTGAGATTACACAAAAGAAATGTGTTAATTTTTAGATGGAGAAACGTATTTTTAATCTTAACATGAAAATAGCTTTACACTCGGAGCAGTGACTGCTTTAACTCCATATATTAAAACATTAATTTTTAGTAAAAATACTTTTATTAGAAATTCTGATTTCTTCTTTATAAAATACTTATAATGTTTACTGAAAGCTTACCAAATTTCGCGAAGATACATAAGTCGTATCAGACGATCGTATCGTATCGCGACACCCCTAGTACCCACGGCCCCAAAATGTGGAGCGCGTGTTTAGAGCAACGAGGCTGATCCATGAATCCTCAGGGTCACAGTCTGGCACCTAACACTAGGCCACGCCCGATGACAGAAAAGTTAGTATAAGAATGCACTACTTCCGTTGTCAGTCTTAATGTTACTGAATGGTGTAATTATGTTTCTCGCGTGGAAAGTGTGTCATTTTCCTATGCAATATATACTTACTAACCCTCTATTGCACACTGTAACGTACAGTTAACAAACCTATGTTTTTTACTCAATACACATACAAATGTTTCAGTTATGTAGTTCAATGCTCCTACATCCAGGTAAAAGTTTAAATAAACCATGGAATTATTTTTGCTGGTTCCTCAATTGAACAATGTTACTTTTAGGTAACGTACCCATTTATACCTTACCAAAGTATATTTCACTAAAACATTTTTGTGCAATATAGACCTATTTATGTAAGAAATTCGAAGAAAACAGTTTCCATCGTATTTTCACAAAGCACGCAATAGAGGGTTAAATCCATACACCAACCATCCTTCGCTGTGTACATTCTCCAGTTCTACCTTATTACTCTTATTGATCGCCTGTTTTTCACAATTTACATGTTCGTCTACCTAGAGTACTTCCTAACTCATAGTTTATGATAATCAAGGCTTATGATTGTTCATCAATGTTATTCTTTGTTTGAGACAACAGGGATTACACATCTAACAAGTATTAGGGGGGAAAATATCGCTAAATAAAAAAGCTAAGTAGGGCTGGCTACTGAACTTGAAAAAATGAACCAAACAAGATCGAGATGGAAGTTGACATATCACTTGATCCGACTAATGATCACACAGCAGACTAAAGTCGTCTCGACTTTACATGGAGAATAAAATCCCTACATTACTGGCCTCCCCATTTTCCTTATCGAAAGCTTAGTGTTTGAATAGAATCTCAGCTTTCATCATTATACCTTTCCGTTATGACTATTTTACAATAGAGCAGACATTCCCAACCTGGGATATATGTACCCCCAAGGATACATTTGCACTTCCCAGGGGGTACATAGGGGTCTGAGAGTATAACCATGGTTTACACTTTACATGGTGTTTTAATCTACAGTCAGATAAAAAGAGCACAGTAGCTCACATAAATATACGCTGAGTTCAATTTATCGATGTTATCAATACTATAAGATTCTTATGCAGTCCACACATACAGATTTCATGATAAAATAATATAAATTCAATATAATTTTATCAATTTTTAATCCTTAATTTTTAGGGGTACATGGGAACCTGTCAGAATGCCCAAGGCCAAGGAGTACAGAGGAACAAAAAGGTTTGGAATCCCTGCAATAGAGTAACATTTTAGGATAGGAAATTCTGGTTCTATTTGTTTTTCCAGTCCAGATTAAGATTTTAAAAAAACGGTAACATTTCACGTTGTTATAAAACTCATAGGGATACGTCTATAAAACGTAGAAAGACGTATCTGAAGTTTATTTGTTTGTTAAGAATAAACTTATACAATGGGCTGTTTGTACTATGCCCACCATGGGTATCGAGGCCAGATTTTTAGCGTCGTAAGTTCGATTAATTTCCACTGAACTGAAGATACACAGTTTTGGTCACCTTATTTATGCTATCCACATACGATATCTAACCTATTTTTATACCATTTCCTAAGAACAAACTGTTCTTAATAACCTCATAATATATTACTTTGACTGTAATTTTTTCCTATTCACATTAATTGTAAACCCTCTTTGTAACTTAATATAACAGCCAATAGACTTAAAACACACGTTGAACAATTCTCTAAAGACAAACAGTTATGTAAATAACCGAAATTAATTTTCATAAAAACCTATCATAAGTATTATTGTATAATATGTATGAAGAGAAATAAACGGATATTATGCAACTGGAAAATTGTCAATGTTGTGATTATTGTGTTTTGGGGTGAGCTTAATTTTCTATTTAAATTAAGTTCTAACAGTGAATAAATCGTAATTTATTCCTCTTGTACTGCAGGTTTCTCATTCATAGCAATCGGGATAATCCTCTCGTTAGGCTTTGACTTCTCCAACATTTTCTTTGGAGCTTCAATAGTTAAAATACCATCAGAGCTCAGGGAAGACTTCACTGTTTCCGCTTCAACACCTCGAGGTAGCATGTAGTGTCGGACGAACTGGCGAGAAACCCAACCGTGCTCGTCTGGTTTCTCCTCCTGCTTTCCTTCAACTACGACAAAATTTCCTACAGTTTTTACCTGAATTTCCTCTGGAGCAAATTGATTCACGTCCAGCATGACCTGAAATTTGTCTTTTTCGTTTTTGACTTGTGATTCACCGGTGTATCCCTTTTGATCAAGTCTGTTGTAATAACTGCGGTATGGCGTCGTTGGCAGATCACTATTTAATAATCCTTTGGCAAAGTACTGGTCGAATATACGACTAGGAAACTCCCATGCATCCCACCAGTCTCGACCAAATAAAGCAGGAATAAGACTTCGTGGAAAAGACATAGTTAACACCACAACTATATTATATTACTTCGCTTTTTTTGAAAGCAACTGACGAAAACTGCTTGAGAAATTATCTATACCAGTGCATTTATAAGCTTTAAAAGCGCCCTCTTCAGATGTTTCTAGAAAATGTACACGTCTTCATTTCGATTGGTTGACGTAGTATTCTGCAATATAACGTTAATTCTAGATTTTTCTCTGCGCTATAGATTTTTGTTCCTTCCATTGAGACAGTATGTTACAGATTATACAATCTATGAGGCGACACTCTTCATTTTCGCCTAAATACAACCCTGTTGCTTATATAAACATTTCAATTATCATTATTTGAAGAAAGTAATTTCTTTGTGCTATTATTGACCTACAAAAAAGTGGATATGATTAAATACGACAGAATTTTATTAAAGTATATTTAATGGATAGTTGTTATTTGCTTTCTCGCAGTAATTCCTTTTTAGATCTCGTGTGAATAAGAAGTCTTCCGTACCGTTATTCAAAATATATTGCTGTCGTGCAGAGAACACCATTTTCCAGACAACAAAACCAAACCTGCAGCATGGAAAACCTCATTATCTTGAAATGATATTTCTATAAATAGTAGGACAATACTTCTACTCATATTCAGATGTTTTGAACATAATAAGTGAAGCATTGGGAGATAAGGATGGTTCTTCAGAAGAATACACAAACCAGAGAAATAATGAAATTAATAAAATTTAACCAGGTAATTAAGTGCATCTATCACCAAATAGTTGGCCAGAATGACATCCACGAACCTCAGAATTAATACATTACTGCCTTTCTACCAAATTACCCTATAATATACGTGTACCGTCCGAGCTTCTACATATACATTTAGATCATTTTTGTTTCTTCCAGAATTTTCTCATAAAACTACACAATGAACTATCTGCGTATTTGCATAGCTAATTTTGAAATGATAGAATAGAAGGAAGGCAGTTAGTCATCAAAACTTACCCCGAAATTATACAAAAGGATTGGTTTGAACTTCGCGCAAAGCTACACCAGGGCTATCTGCGCCAGCCGTCCCTAAATTAGCAGTGAAAGACTAGAGGGAAGGCAGCTAGTCATCACCACCCACCGCCAACTCTTGGGCTACTCTTTTACCAACGAATAGTGAAATTGACCGTCACATTATAATGCTCCCACGATTGAAAGGGCGAGTATGTTTGGTAAGACGGGTATTCGAACCCACGATCCTTAGATTGCGAATCAAACGCCCTAAGTACTTGGCCATGTCTGTACAAAATGACAAATACTGTCAAGGTATAATATAATAATAGGTAAGTTACACAAGAAAAATGTGAAGAATACCCCCTCGCTTTTTTTTTTGCAACTAGAACAACCAGGAACATGAATATGTATATATAAAGGGGGGGGACAAGTTTTTTACAGTTTTTCTTGTTTAACTTACACACCTTTACACATAAAACTTTTTGTTTAGATAAACAGTATCACTTACTTTCTATTGGTTTACACGTGTTAGAGATATGCAAAGTTTAAACTTCAAGACTTGAATTAGTAATTCATATATCTAGATATTTTGTACATGGAGATTAATAGATATATAGTTTATATTTTCCATTTATGAGTCATATTAGGCAAACTGTATTTTTTTTCTATTTTTCAAAATGTTAAAGGCCCCCGGTGGGATAGTGGTAAGTCTACTGACTTGCAACGCCAAAATTCGTGGCTCGATTTCCCGCGGTGGACATAGCAGATAGCCCATTGTGGATTAGCTAAAAAACAAACAACTAACCAAGAAAAATGTTAAGTTCTACCCATACAAAGTGGTCAGACTTTCTTACTACATATCTTGTTTATTTAGTAAAACTACTTTCTGAAATAAATTAGCTATATTTTTACCTTGATTAAATGCCAAACACACTTTAGTTCGTCTAAGCATTCTCCACCTTCTAACTTCGTAGGAGTCACTACCGTGACTCTAGAGTAATTTTCAAAAACTTTATATAATAACCTTATAGCTAAGCTATATACATAATAGGTAACTTGATTAATTGAACTGGGCGTTAGCTGGTCCTGTGATAGAGCTGTAGATTTCGGAGCTAACAAACCGCGTTCGAATCTGTGCGATACCACAAAATATTCCCGCACTTTAAGCTACGTTTACAGTATATATGGTGGGTGGTAGGGTGCTGCTAACTGTGTTACTTTCCCTCTGGTGAGTAGTTCAAAATTAGGAAAGGCGGCAAATAGCCTTAGTAGCTTTTCCACGAATACAGAAAGACAAATATGTATTGATTAAACAACGATCTCAAATTCAATTCAGAAACACTCTACCAGTTAGAATTTTTTTTTTTTTAAATAAGGTAATTATGTATCTCTTCTCGCCAATTGAGAAGAACTGAAACTTGTACATACTAATAATATTCTGTAAGCGTAGGTTATTCAAATAAATTATAATAATAACATGTAAAATGATTAATTGTGATAGACTTTTAATGTGGCACTTATCTAAGCATATGATTGTAGTATGCAGGCATACAACGTATTTTATATTCCCTTATTCAATACAAAAAATTCAAAACTTTCATACATATAATTTATACAGTTTTAATATTAAATATTGGTGAAAAATAACTAAATTTCTTTCGACCTATTTACTTATTGAACTGGATCATTCCTTTAGGGTATCATGTGCGTCTTCTTATGGGAAAGATATCTGTAAAGTTGAATACTAGGCGGAAGTAGATAACGATCTTTTATACTGGGAGATCAGGTGATACCTTAAGCAAAACACCTTTATTTTTCGATTGAAATGATCAACAGTGACTTGGGTAGCTATGTTTTCTAAGCCTGGAATAGATATTCATTAACTTCTGAAACATATTTTTGAGAACCCTCGAACCTCCTGTAAAGATGCTCTAAATATACTCGATCTTTTTATTGTGTTTGAAATATAAGTAAAGATTGTTTCACGTGATTTTCTTTGAGTTCAGTCTCTTTCTTTATTAAACTCGGTCAAAAGTCAGAAAAATGAGATTTACTCCCGCAAAGCATGTTCTATCGAATCTCCTGTTATTCTGTAGAACCTATCCGACTGCTCTTAAGGGAAATCAGTGCATCTTGGAATACCACGTGATCACCAACCCTAAGTTACGAAAAACGACTGAACTGAATAGAAATATAAGTAAATATATATATATATATATATACAAAGAAACATTGAATGTGAAGCTTCAATGAGTTTACAGTACTTGGCAAAGTGATAAGTAATGATTATAATATTGTAAACATTTTTTTATATAATTTTTTTTTTTTTGCTTAACTAAGAATTATTTCAAAGATCAGTAAACTGCCTGATCCTTTAAACAATGGGCCTTTTCTTTACCAAGTATAAAACTAAACAAAGTATCTAAAGGTTGTGAAGTTCATAAAGGGATAATTGGTATATTGAATTTATCAACTTTAATACAATTAATTACTTTCACTTGGATATTATTTTTCTGTCCTACACGTTTATTTGTTTTTGTTTAGTTTTTAACTTATTGTTTCTTTTGAAATAAAAAAAAATCATCGTTATAATAAGAACCTCGAGGTGTCAAAATTAGTATAAGACTAATATTTCTAATATACATGTGTATGCATATAAGCATAAGCTTATAAAATAAACGTATATATATATGTTGTTACGTATTAGAATTGCAAATAGCCTGAAATTGAGTTAAATGATAATTTAAATTTAGTAGTTAAATTGTACTTTGGATTTGGTATTTAAATATATGCCGATATATTAGTCAATTTACGATATTTGCCAACAAGATTGATACACACCGTTTTAATTTTTATCACAAATACGTTTTAATATACACACAACAGTACAATTTACAATTACAAGTATTACAAATTGTTACTACAAACAATGATTTATAAACAAAAGTTTCACAAACTTACAAACAATATAAAGTATTCTTTCTAGTTTGGAATTTCCTTGATATCTTATCGAGAGTCCACAATGAGCGAGTTGATAGAGGTACGATTCGCTTAACGGGAAGCTAGTTAGCTTTGTCCTTCGTTATTTGTCGGCCACACACGCTGAGCTCTCCACGATGTATTTATATAATGTCTTCTTAAAAATATTAATGTCCATGAGAATCCACTGAAGTTAAATGATTTCTAAAGGTTCCTGGTCAAATATCTGAAGTTTTTCTAATGATAGGCGTCATAACAATCACAGTTATAGCTTCCGAAGTTTTATAGCATACTAATTATAGCGAACTAATTATAGATATGCTCTTTTTCGGCGCGTCGCGTTGGTTATATTTATAGCGTGTGGAGGCGCTCTATAAATTTCAGTTTTACGTAACAATACTGAGCTACATTTAAGCGTTTACGTATATACATATATTGTTGATTTGTACCCTCGAGAATATTCTACAACTTTGGAGAATAGGCGGGAGTTTCCAATACATATCTAACACTACAAGCTATACCTGTTTTTAAATATAAACTTAATCTAAACAATGTTGATATTAAAATAAATATATAATAACAAATTCGTTACAATGTATAAGCTTGAATAACATGTACACGTTTATGCAAAAATACATGTGAAAAGCGGATAAATATATGACATCGGTAGAAAATTAATAATTATCTGCAGCATAAATATAAACCTATTTGCTTTTAATCTGAACTTTGATAGGTTTCGTATCAGGGGTTTCTCTGCAGCAAATAAAAGTTTTAGGTATCTTACAATTGCGTTGGTTATGCTCTTGTCAATTAGAAGAAAAAAATTATTAAACAATTAACTTTGTTTATGAAATAGGCCCTTTATTTATTTTTAATAATATTATATTTAAATAATTATGCGTAATTACAGTATACTGTAATTGCAAACTTAACAAAAGTATCTAACAATTTACTGTTTGTTTGTTCGTAATCAAGCACAAAGCTACACATTGGGTTATCTGTAATCTTCCCACCACGGGTATCGAAACCCGATTTCTAGCATTGTA